ATATCATTGAACCAATACATTATGTCCCTGAAACTGTGTGCTTAGGTGCATACATGTACGCGTACTTTTTTTTCCCGGGGGAAGTCCCTCGGTTTTATCGGATTTTAAGTTTCATAAAATCCCCAAAATTCAGTGTCACTGGCTTAAAGTGTGAGGGCAGAGACTCTGGGGTCTGGCCTCCAATGCATGGTCCTCAGACCAGCAACTTTGGCAACACTTTACAGAAAGTGGGCCCCACGCCAGACCTGCTAAATGTGTATCTACATTCTAACAAGATGCGGAAGTAATTTCCATTCCCAAAGATGGGTGAGGTAAGGAAGGCCAAAACATTCTAGGTTGGTGAAATCTTCTGCAAAGTGTAGTGAGCTCCTCTTCCCTTCCCTTTCCTCCCTCTTGAAGCCTTGTTTTCTGGAGTTTAGTTACATCCAGGATTTGGGCAAATGAGTAAATCCATCAAGGTTAATGGGACCACAGAGGAGTTGCAAATGAGGGGGAGGCTAGCAAATTGTACAGATATATTCATGGCGTAGTCCTCACTATATAAAATTAAGATCATGAAAGGTAAGGACAGGTTCAGGAGCTGACAGAAGACTGAAGAGACATGACACCTATATGCAACAGAGGATCCTGGGCTGGATTTTGGGGTCATTGTTGGGAAATGAGCAAAACCTGAATCATATTGGAAGTTGTTTCCTGATTTCCCTGGTTATATAGAAGCTGTGTAGGAGAGTGGTCCTGTGCTTTGGAAATACATACTTAAGTATTATCGGTCATGAGGAATCAGGTCCACACTCTCTCATATGGTGCAAAACTGTTTATGGAAACTCAAATGTACTATTTCTGCAACTTTTGTATAAATTGGAAATTATATCTAAATAGTCTTCAAAAGTAATCAGGTGCCACTCCTCTGCTTGACACCTTCTAACAGAATGTATGTCCATACAGACTTGTATGTATTCATAACCACTTAATTCATAATAGCCCCAAATTGTGGAGAAGCCAAATGCCTTCAGTGACAGAACAAACTGTGATCCATGTGCTAGAGATGAACCACAAAAACATTCTAGACAAGGTGCTTGTATGATAGAAAATATGACTTTTCTAGGGCCAGAGATGGGAGAATAGACTGACTACAGAGAGCAAAGGGAGCCTTGTTTTTGAGGGGTGATGGAATGCTCTATGTCTTATGATTAAAACACAACTGTATACAATTACCAAACTCATCAAATTGAACATAAAAATGCGTTAATTTTATTGTATGTAAAAAACTCGGTTTAAAAAATTCTCCAATAGTTCCCCACTTCGGAGTATAGGCCCTTAAAAAAGCCTTTATAATTCCTCCTATCCTCCCTCACCCTCCTCACCCACTGACCCTTCTACTTCCTCATCCAGCCACTCAAAGCAGGGGTGTCTGTGGAACATGTTCTGTTCTAGGCCAAGCTATGGAAAGGCAGAGACTAAGCAGCTAGAAAGTTTAACAGAAATTGGCATTGCTGTAATATCGCTGAGCATGGTCTTTCTTCCAGCAATTCACTGTTAAAAAGTGTATTATCTTGACTACTAGGTTAAAAATGTTATTCATAAGAGTCAGACTCTGAATGTGGCAGTTTTAAGAATAAAAATTATTTTGCTTTTCCCTCTTATGTATGCAACAGTGCTGATTAAAAATCTATGTAAGTCTCTAAGTAGTCTTTCTATAAGTATACAATAAATTTTGTGCAATATGGGAAAGTTGTTCAAGGAAACATTTCATGTTTCAAGGAACATGAAAAAATGATCAATAGTGTCAATGTAATGTGTACTGTATGTGCAAAAGGGAGTTCACTTTGAAACGAAAGATACCCATGGTTTTACTAGTAGGGGACTGAGTCAATAGCCTTAGGTATAAATCAAATGCTAAATAAGCTTTGGAAATATTTGAACATTGGTGTTTAAAAATTAGAGGCAGCAAGATCAGAACTGGTAACGCTTTGGGGGTCAGCATATTTATCTTAAAAATGATTACAGATTGTAAAACCTTTCCCACAGAGGTCTTTCAATAAAGATTAGTTACTAACCAAACAAGTATTCCTTAAGAAAATCCTGCCTCAGAGTAACAACCTAAAATGTGAAGTTTGAAGACAGCATTCCCTTTCCATCTGTTTTCCAGAAAACAGTAAGTACAGTTACTCCTAAATGGCCTTTATTCAATTAAGCACTGAATGAAGATTTGTGAAATGTGTGAAATGTCTAGTATCAGCAAAATACCATTCTCCTTTATTTGAAGAAGAAAAAAATCAAATTTAGATGCTAACCAGGTTTGTTTTCTTCTAATACTCAAGACAATTATTTTCACCATTAATACAAGACTCATTTAAAAAGAAAGTTTAACTCCAGGACAACAGTTCACATGCACAAGAAAATAACATTGCAGAAAATCTAATCAAGGGCTGATCGAATTCTCCTTTACTTTTATTAGTATGGTTCAATGTTTCTTTATAATAGGCTGCTCCAAAATAACACTAGAAGAGCATCCTATTAGTTTTATATACCTTAAGATGAGTTCTAGACTAGCACAAGCATTTGGTGATAGGACAATGAACTAATAAATGAGGAATTATGTAAAGAATACAAACAAAAGTTTATTGTACAAAATTAAGGCCTTCATATTTCATAGTTCACTAGGCTAAACAAAGACTAGGAAATTTTTTAAATCCCGCACAAAAATTTCACCATCAGCTCCCACTGCTGCATCCCCAACTGTTACAATGGCCTAAGGAAATGTTATCAAAACAAACACTATAAATATAACACCAAGTCCTTTCAACACAACTATCTTATATATTATTTCTTGGCATAGGTGATCTTCATGGCATGGGACGGTGTAATCTTAAACCCTTGTAAAGCATCCCTTGCAGCTCCAGCTTGTCCATCATTTTCAAATTCAACAAAAGCAATGTCATGCCTCCCAGGTACCAAACGCACTTCCTTAAAACCAGGAAATCTGTAAAGAGAAACAGTTTATATAAATATGTAAATAATTTATATATATGTAAATATGTAAATGGTATCAAATACATTATTATCTATTCTGTGTTCAAATTTGTTAAGCAACTCTTAGATACTGGTCCAGAATCATATTTTGTCAAGAATCCTGAGTAGAATAAAAGAATCTAAAGCTTAATGAATATATAAGCACTACAGGAATACTGTAAACTAATTTTATTTTTGTCATTATATTAAATCTTTGTTTCCTGTTTTACTCATCAATTAGAATTAATCATTCAATCATTAGAGGTAATTGGGTTTTCTATTTGCTAACTCTGCAAATAAGCTTCAATTCATGATTAATCCCAGACCAAATCAATGAACCTGTATGGAATAACTGTTAGGTGATACATAAAGGGTTTCAACAAGGGCCATTTGTCCTGTTAGGAGGCTCTTGCAACACAAACTTGTTTATGAAAAAACTTACTGATTAAACAACATAGATAACATCATCTCATTAGTCTCTTCTGGTAAATTGTTGAGGAATAAAATATAGTTTGGAGGGTAATCAGGGACCTATTAAAAATGAAAAAAGACAAAGTCAGCTTTAAGTATAAAAAAGTATGAAAAACCATTTGGCTCTTACATTAAAATCTAAGCTTCAAAGAGATACATTCCACTGTCAATATTAAGACTGATGAAATCTTAATAAATCAAACACTAAAGCTGAAAAACACCAGAAAAAAACTTAATAGTAACTAAGCAAAGCAGACATTTGAGACACCTAATACACATTTGGGAGATAACAAATCTTATTAACAGTTTTTAAGTATTTAGTTAACAGTATTTAAAACAATTTAAGTTTTAAGCATCTGAAGGTCAGTTGTAATTGGAGGACTTGGTCATGTGGATTACAGAACTGAGAGATCCCAACAAAACTAGACAAGGCAGCAATGTCATCCATCCTCAGCTGGTTACACAAGGAGTAACACCTGGATATTCGAGTCCTCTGCATTACTGTTTACTACCTCCTAGCATTTAAGGAAATTTAGAACTAGGAAGATTACCACTTAGACCTATTCCTTGGTGACTTTTATTATTTTCTGCAAGTAAATGAGATATGTGGAGCCTCTAGTTGAATACAAGTAGAAACAAGCACTATGATTAGAAATAAAATTATTTAATACCCTACCCTGACGTTATAGGATCCTATATGTAAGAAAAGAGCCTATCTTCAAGCTAGTTCAGAAAGAGATAAAGAACACCTTATGTGAACAATTCAAGGCTTTAGAGAATTAAATGCTGGCATTTGTCAACTGTACTGTAACTGTTGAAAGACTTCAAAGAAAGGAAGTAGATAATATAAGAAAATGCAAACAACATCAGAGGAGGAAAAGCTAAGTGGTGCAAGGAATTCTCTGGACTTAAGGATCTTGTCAGACTAGCATCCAGGGACCCATGCAGGAAACCATTAGGACAAAACTAAGGCTTCTCTTTGAGGCCTTTAGTGGGGAGACTTGGTAAGGAGTTTCTAAAACACCTATGTAAGGAGACTTAAATATATTTGCTCTGAGGAAGTAAGAGCAAGAGTTAACTGTAAAGCAACTTTGCTCTATTAGAAAAGATGATTTAGTGCTCAGTCAACTGGACTGGAAGAGAGCTAGCCACCTGGCCAGTTCCCCAAATTGTGTGTCTGGAAAGCCCTGGCATTATGGACATACTGTGGGGAATACAAAAATGCTTACTCTCAGCCCTCACAGAGTTTAGAATTTTTCACTTTGATTCTGTCATTGATACATTTTAGAAAGCAAAGAATGAAGTCAGGTTTTGTTTTCTCCCCTTAGAAAATTAAAATGTGAGGAATGGAAGTGTTATGTCATTTAATGTCGTGTGTCTTTTAGAAGGAATTAACTTGTTTTTGGAGATATGCAAGTTGTTGTATGTCACTGTTACTGTGTAATTTTATTTTAAAAGCACCACATGGAAAAAAAATTACCTGAGGATTTGGTGTTGAATTTCCTTGGGTATTTGCTGAATTTAGTGTTCCCTAAACAAAAGAAAGAGAAGCAGTTAGAATATTCAATCGCTCTAAAAAGCAGCAGGTGCTTATAATTACTACATAAACATAACATAAACTTAAACAGATTTCTTATTCCATTTAAGAATTTACATCTTAATTCTGACTCAAACATATATGTATTTATCAGTTATTTTCTGAAAGATCTAGCCCTAAACTTTAAAGATTATATCATAAAACTTAACCTCCAAGTTTTAAAATTGGAGAAATATATATGGGAAAACCAAGAAGCAGTCTTTTATTGTTTTAATAATTAGGTAAGTCAAATTGTACTTAGTGAAACTAATTTCTGATCACTTTCAATCCCAAAGTAACTACTTTTTGAAGGTAATTTAACTTTTGCATAGTATTTTTAATTATATTTTGAAATCCTGAATTACTTAGAGAAAGTAGCTTCCAGTATAGTACTCAGGATTAAAAATATCTGCAGTATTATTTATAGGCAGAACTTAAACAAATTCAAATAAAAGTTTAATACAAATCCGCATATGTAAAGATTTATATTTTAACTTGTACTTAAACATAAATACTAGAATTTTGAAAACTTAACCATTCCAGCTCCTTAAAAATCTACCTTTTAAACACTTACACATGTGTGCACACACACCTGAAAGATCATCCCTTAGCTAGAAAACAGACACTCCTGTCAAATTTTTAACCCCAGAAACAACAAGAACCTCCCCTGGTCTTACCTGGCCAGGCTTCTTGCTTGCAGCTGCTGCAGTCTGCTCCACCATCTTGGCTTTTTTCTTTTCCTTTTTCTTTTCTTTGTCAGCAAAAGTGCCACGCATTTTAGATATTATGTCAGAATCTGTTTTTGCATACTGGATTCGCTGTTTAAGTTATGTGAAAACAGGTTACTTCCCATTTACTCTGAAGGCTGTTTACACTAGTCATTAATAATATTTCAAATTTTATTACAGAAATACACCAAATTTTAAACGCATCCCTAAGGAAATCTGTCAAATACACACTGAGCTCCAAATGAAAACAAACTGTGGCCTATAGTTCACAGCTTAGACAAAGTTAGATTCAACTGTGTTTACTGTAAGAAAAACAAGGTTTTCATATGGGGAAAAACAGGACTTTGAAATACCTACACCACTGCTTCTATTTTATAAAATAGAGAAAACAGCATTGGAAAGTTGTCTGTTCATCAACAGGGACTCTCAATAGAAGGGTCAAGATCTGTCAATTAGCTGTGTAATGTGCCATACAGAATTTGTAATTTCCAGAATTAAAGGACCAAAGACTGAGAATTATTTTTCATGAACTGTCTAACAGTGGCATCAAATTCATTTTAAAATGCTTTGAAAGGATCATTGAGCTGTACAACTAAGATTTGTGCATTTTATTTTATGTATCTCAATTAAAAAAAAATTCTTCAGAAGGCATGGAAATGAACATGGAAAGTTAAAAAAAATGCTTTGAAAGGAAACAAAGGATGCAACACAGCAACACAGCTAGTGCAGTAAGACCACTTGCTCGTTCTTACTGTGCCACAGCCGGCAGGGATGGTATGACTGAGACAACAGGCAAGCATTAAAAACACTCGTCTAGGGCAGCATTTCATAAGCTTATGTGCATTCTAACTACGTGGGGAGCTTGTGACACCAGATTCTGATGGAGTACGTCTGGGTGATGCTTGAGATTCTGCACTTCTAACAAGCAAAGGGGATGATGGTGGGGCCCACACTGAGTAGACCTAATGCATTTTTGCCAGACCTAATGCATTATCACACAGCTAGATTCAATACCTGTCCCCATATTTTTGCTGTGAGTTAAACTGTTATCTAGGGTGTGTATGCAAACTGCAGCCTCCATTGAAGGAAACATTTCTTCCCTGGAGCTGAAGAGGTGAAATCACCTCTCTGACCATATCAAAACACAACACAGTCTTACAAATTACTACCTAAAACTGTCTTATATAGGAAAAATTTGATCTTGGTCTAAAAGGAACAAGTGACTTTCTAAAGTGGTGTGGGTTTGAAAGCAGGGATTTTGTCAAACCAAGAGCAATTCTTTCCTTTTTTACTTCAGCAAGAGACGAACGTGTTGGGGCAAGAAGAGGGGAGTAGGTCTACCTGTACACCTAGTACCTTGGCTTTCTCCAGTGCTCTGGGCTGCTGTACCACAGCCACTCCAGGTGTACTGACCCCTGCAAGCCACTCTGCTGGTCCTGCATGTCATCATCTAACCCACAGGAATAGGCTGATACTAACCCTAACTTTGTTCCAAAGATTCCCTCCCAACTCCCCTGGGTCTTCACCCTTCTCCCTGATGTGAACAAATCTTGGGTAACCTTGTATCTGTCTTTATGACACAGTTACCTGTGAAAGTCTCTAATCCCAGCCTTTGTCCTTAGATGGCTGGTATAGCTTAACAGTTTCCAACCAGAAGTAATTCTTCTGACCAGGGGAAGCTGGCACTGCTGACTGGAGACACCGCTGACTGTCACACTACTGGCATGTAGTGGGTGGAAACAGGATGCTAAGCACTTTAAAATGAATGAAGACAGCCCACCCTGTCCCCAACAAAGAATTATTCAGTTTCAAATGTCAAAAGTGTCACTGTTGAAAAACTCTGGTCTAGACTAAATACACACAACAGATAAAAGTCCAGCCAGAGCCTAGAGAAGGGGCAATATTTATATTTAAGTCAAAGGTTTCGTGACAAAGCCCTTAGGAAGATGGTTCTACTTTACTAAGGTATTTTTGGCATTAAATAACCAACTGTCCTTGAATTACACAGAATAATTTTGTTCTGACTTCCAAGTTAAAATAAATATTTCTTCATTTCTGATCTTGCATGTTGGACTTCAAACAAGAGCAACTAAAACCACTTAAATAAATTCAAACAAGACAGATCAAAGAACATTCTTCTGTCTCTTCCAGGATGCTGGACATTTGGCAGTATCTGCTGTCTTCCTGAAGGCAGAGAATGGACTTCCTTTTAGGACACCTTCAATACAAGGTCAGCCTACTGGACTTTTTCCATTGATTTAAAATAATTAGTTGGCGAGGTAAAGCCAGTGCCAAACACAACCAAAGTAGTTTCAGTTTTCCTTTACCTAAGTAATAGGTTCATGTAAGTTTGTCATCCCAACTCAATAAAACAGCTCTAAAACCCTCTACAGGAAGAAACTGGTCCTTCTTATTAATGTAATTTTAGATCTAAACTAAAACCCAGTCTCATACTCCTGCCAACTGAGATCTCAATTATGCTGTTTCTTCATACTTACTAAGAAGGATGAATTGATTTCAGGAAATGCCATTTTACTAGATGCTAGGGTATGTAGGCACAATCCCAGTTTGCTGGCTTGCGCCTTTCCACAAAGATGGTGCCCAATCAGGGAAAGGGACAGCTGGATAGAAGATGAGAAGGAGACTTGCTCCAGTAATAGACAAAAAATGCCATCCTGAATTAAACAGCGTGGTATAAAAGTTTTCAAGCTACTGACCACAGCCAATAAATTTGTTTTTATAAATTAGATCTTGTTGGAATCCCATCTATGGCTGTTTTTCCTGCTATAAAGGCAGAGTTAAGTAGTTGCAACAGAGATTATCTGGCTCACAAAACCTAAATTACTTGCTTTAATGTCCTGATTCCTAGTTTAGTGGGAAAAAAAAAAAGTCACAATACTGGGTGTTAGATTTGCTTTCAAGTCCTCATACTTCCATTGGTTATATTAATATAACCTTGATAGGCAAATTAACCTTCCTGTACCTGACTCTTCATTTGTAAAATAAAGGGATTAGCCCTTACACTACAGACTATGGTCCAAATTGAACCCATGGCCTGTTTTTGCATAGCTATGAGTTAAGGACTTTTCTTTTCCTTTTTAAACAATCTTAAAGGGTTTATTACCCAAAGATATGCAACAGAAACTATGTGGCATACAAAGCCTAAAATATTTATTAACTAGTTCTTTATAGAGTTTTTGCTGACCTCTAAATTAGACCAAAAAATAGCCAATCTGCTTACCTATATTATAGGTAATAAAACTGGACATGGGCACAGCCAATTAATGGCAGAACCAGAATGAGGAAGGGGGGTCCTTGAAATTCTGGGCCATGGCCCTATACCAAGCACCCCTTCCCATCATATTGCAGCTAGAAGAAAAGCACTCTGGAATCCAGGCCCAAAGCATACCTACTCAATCACGCACCAAGAACGAACCCTTGCTTTATGCTCTCTCCACCCTGATTCAATCCTTTACCATCTCTAACTTACACCAAGGGCCTCCAACTTGAGCTCCCTATTTACCTTTGGGCCCTACAATAATCCAATCTTCATCCAGCAGCTAAATGTCAATCTCACTGTCACTCCTGAGCTTAAACTTTCCAGGTCTAACTATTTCATTTCCATTCATTGTTATTCATTAATAAAACCTATGCAGTATTTCACTATGGTTATTTACTGAAACTTCAGACTGGATTTCCTCTTTAACCTATGATTTTTGTGTTGTTTTACCAGTTTGTTAACAAAGGTTTCTTTTTTAATCTTCTGCATTATTTATTCTACTTATGAGATGAGACTATGTCTATACTGCTGTTATTTTTTAAATATTCTACCTCTCAATGTATTTTGTTCTTGCCTACTTGAACTGTCATAAATTGAAAGGTATTATGAGCTCTCCCACTAATGTGTTTCTATAAAAATAAATATGTAAATAAAATAAACCCGTTTGCTCTAACACATAATTAAAAACAGAAAGCAACACAGTTCCATGTCATTATTTACAAATATACCATACCATTAATAGTGATTAAAACAAAAATACTAAGATTGACTTACCATTGGTTTACCATAAAATGGAAATCCTTGTAACTGTCTCAAGGCATTTGTTGATGAGCCCAGTTCCTTAAATATAACAAAGGCTTGCCCCCTCATCTTCATAGTCTTTAAAGCAACAATATCTACCACATGGCCAAACTGAGAAAACAGGGCATATAAGGATCTCTTCAATTCTGCACAAAATTAGAGAAGCTAGTTATTTGTGAATGAAATGATAAAATTCTTCATAAAATGATAATGCATTGAGTGCCCCCCACCATATATTTATACAAAATTACATATTCTAATAAAAACACTATTCCTATGGCTAATTTAAAAGGTTATCTGAAACCATTCTACCTATGAGTGATAACAGATTCCACACAATTTCAGCCTTGCCTATTTTTATTTTTTCAGGTCTTAAAATCCTTACACAAAAAGAGAAAAACGTATTTAGATACTGAGAAATAGAACAAGATGAGAAGTTTTGAAACAGTACAATTTTTAAGTCTGTAGTAAATATACTTTGCTTGCAAACAAATATTTTTAAAAAGCATTTACCTTCTTTTTTAATTTTGTCATTCATATTGTTGATATAAATTGTATGATTTGGTCTGATATCCATGTTCTGGGTCAAACTGTTCAAACAGCCTAAAGAGACAGTAAATACTCTGTTATAAACAGGGGGGATTAACTCATACTGTAGCGTGGCATGATTTTCAATTCTCTTTCAATCCCAAATGTCAGAAAATATCGATCTGATAGCAGTCTTTAAAACCTCTCCAGCACTCACTAGCACTCCTTTTTCAACAAAAAGAACTGTTCTCAGGCTCAAAACTTGGTGAAGCACCAAGACCCTAGCCAGATTCTAACATTATTTCATGCAGTACTTTTATCTTTGTACTTATTTTTCATTAATGATAAGTGATACTGTTTTTCCATCTCCTAATGGAATAACTTATTTTTTAATGGAATTATTTTAAAATTGAGATTTTAAGAAAAATGAAAAATAAGCTTAGCAAATATACACCCAGTTAAAATCATTTAAGATAGAACATTAATGAAATCTGCCAAGCACTATTCCAAGGGTATGTTTCAAAAGCACTTTCATACCTATTACTTAATTAATATAAACAGTCAGCTGTCCTGACTCCAAGGTTAACTCTAGCCAATGTTAAAGAATGACGCTCAGAGGGAGCAGTATGACATGATGGTTAAGAGCTCAGATTCTAGTACCGGCCTGAATTAAAATCCTGTCTAAGCTTCTTATTCGCTGCTTGACTGAGGGCAAGTTCCTTAATCTTTCAGGTCCACATCTGTAAAATGGGAATGGGAACACTTACCAATAGAACTCAGAAGATGAAAGTTCTAGCACCTTTCTTGAAGCGTTTAAAGCAGACGTCATGAAAGCTACTACAGGTTAAGGGACTTACCTAAGGCGACATAATGAGCAGCAGGCCTGGGAATTCAGCCCTTGTTTTTACATCGTTTGCACTTTTCTTTCTCACTCACCTGTTCCATTTGTGCGTTGTTTTTAAGTTTCAGATTGTGACACTGCTTTATTTTTCTTGGGTGCCCCACATATTCCTTAGTTTCACAATTACTTACACGCACTGTATGAGAACAGCATAGGAAGACTGACAAGGGAATTGTCTCTTACAGGGGCTGTACTTAGGCGGTACACAATGGTTAGCAGGTGAGAGGTAACGCTTCTCGAACTTGCGAACCCCTAAACTGAAACCTAGACTGGAATGCGAGCAAGACGATGAGAGGCAAGGGACAGAAAGGGCACACCGAGGAAGGGAAACTGGAGGGCGAGCTCCTGCAGTAGCTCAGGCGAGGTCTGAAGGTGGCCCGGACTAGTGCTGGGGCACCCAGAATCGCCTCTCCAGTGCAAAAGGGAGCCTCTGGAAGGCACCCAAAAGTGCATAGCTACAAACGTCTCGCACAAGCCAAGGGACATCAGCTATCCATCACTTCGTACGCGCGAGCCTCCCGCCTCTCCAGACACAGGTACGTTGGCCCAAGGCCCTAGCCCGAAGCCCAAGGAAGCAACCACGCGATCCCCGCTATTCGGCCGTCCCAAGGGCGGGACACGGCTCCGACATTCGGAGGGCTCGCCGGACCGGCGCGCCGCTTGCTAACCCTTTCTCACCCCAGGCCGTCCCTCCCGCGAATCCCGGTGCGGACGCGTCCTGGCCCCCCCGTCGCACCTCGTCCACACCCGGCTCCCACAGAGGGGCGTCGGACCGAGCGGCAATCCGCAGGCGGGAAGGGAAACGAGACAGCACGCGCCCCTGCTCACCTGAGAACTTCCCGGCTCTGGCAAGCAGCAAAAGCCGGAAGCCAGGCCAGACGCCGGAAGTAACTGCCACGCCGCTCAATCGAGCGCCGAGAAGTCGAAAAGCGGAGCCCAGAGTCGATCAAGGTCACGATCTCCCTCCCGGGCAGCTGAGTGTCTCTGCTCATGCGCAGACCTGGAGCGCTTGAGCTGGCCTGGGATGCCGAGGACGCTTGTGCGGAGCTTGTCGGTTAAACCCGGGGCAGTAGGGCAAAGGGACAGGGACTGGCAGTGATTCCTTTTCCTCACCGACTGCGCGCTTTTGCCCCACATAGCGGTGCCCTCCATCTTTCAGAATTCTGTGTAACATTAGGGGCTGCTACCTGGCACATCACCTTTAGGGCAGCTAAACCTCCCCCCAGGTCTCAGATTCCTCGCACTGAGGAAACTCCGCCAACATTCCACTGATGGGCTTGAATCCCAGAGGCAGCTTCGTTTGAAGCTCCAAAGCAGAGAGACGTGATGTCTCTGTCAGGCTCTCTCACTGATAAAGTACCACCTCCAGTAATAAACACCTACCCACCTATAAGATCGTCCACCTATGCTCACTGAAAAAACCCAGTTCCCTACCACCCTTCCACTTCTCTCCCCATAAAATTACCCTGGGTTGTTCTAGAGTAATAAAAGTTGTTGACGTGTATGCCACTCTGAACAGGAAGTGCACACATTCTTTCGTCCATTAATCAACGGAGTGTAAAGCTTTATCTGGAATACTAAATGTATTTATGCGCCAAAGGGTATCTCACCTTGTATTTTCCGTTTAACTAATCTCTCTGAGCCTCACTTTGCTCACCTGTAAACTAGGTATTATAAGACACCTCCTTCTGGAGGTCCTGTGGGTATTCAGTGAGCTAAAGGTAAAGTGATTAACATATTGATAGGACAAAATAAATGGTTCATAACTGTTATTATGAACCCGGCGACGCGGGGGCCAGGACGCGTCCACACCGGGATTCGCGGGAGGGACGGCCTGGGGTGAGAAAGGGTTAGCAAGCGGCGCGCCGGTCCGGCGAGCCCTCCGAATGTCGGAGCCGTGTCCCGCCCTTGGGACGGCCGAATAGCTGGCTCTGAGTTAGACATATGAAGGAAGGGGTCAAATAGGTGTATATAAGATGGGATTTCTATTTTAAAACATCATCTAACAACTTGCAACAACTTGAAAATAATGTAAACTTTTTTAAGGGTGGGATTTTTTGTCTGCTTTGTTCATTCAAGTGCTCTCAGTAACTGAAAGAGTAACTGATAATCAGTAAATGTGCATTCAATGAATAAATGAATGAAACTTCATGGAAAATTAGGCAACACTAACAAATGTGATGTTTTATGAAGATGCTCACAAGTGTAGGAAATGTTAATCAGAGAAAAGCATTATTTTATCATGTATTTATTTTATTTATAATATGTATTTATATAAATATTTTATGTATTTATATTTTATATGTAATTATATATTTAATATCTTATTTTCATATATTTATACAATAGCTTTATTTATAAGTATATATAACCATAAATACATATAAATTATATACAAATATATAATAAGTATATGTATCTATAATAATTTTTATATGTGCTATATTTATATGTGTGTGTGTATATATATATATATATATATATATATATAAATTAGAAGAATATAAATAGTCCTGTCTCAGTTAAGGAATTATGAATTAATGAAGAGCATATACTTAACACATTAAAAGAGAATATAAACTAAATCAAAACAATTTCTGAATAACAAAGGATAGCTGCCCTGAACATCATTATAGGCATCTGAGTAATTAATTAATTCTGTTTGATGATAAGAAAATGGCTGAACTATTTTTCTGAAAATAAGCTATAACCTGATTGTATTATACAAGTGTTCTGGCCAAGAGCTCATCATAACTATTAAAAGAGGATATGGTAGGATTTGGCAAGGTTACTATACCTGGGAAGGAAATGCCAAAGGAAACACAAAGACCTAAAGATAGACTATGCTGGTTTCCATTACCAACCAAATAATGGCTGCTATGCATACACTGTGAGAACAAAATCTTCTGATGTCAACTCAGTGGCAATGATCAGCATGCTTTTTCCCAGGGTCTTCTAAAAAGAGCCAGTGCATTTTCCTGTCTCAGGGCAGTTGCTATGGGCTTTCCAGTAGCCTCTATGGACCATTAATGGTCCTCACTGGCTTCCTGGATGATTTTGAGGAGGACTGAAAGCAGGACTGGGGAAGGAATGAAGGGCGAGGGCACCTTTTCTAGTCTCGTGAGAAGTCTTGCATGGCTTGGTTATATAACCATATCATTAGCATTTTAACGTCTAAACTTTGGTCAGATGTACTGTGAAACAACCATCATTCCTTTAAACCAAATTCACCTCTGAGGGTCAGATCAGGAATCAGATGCCAAAAACTCACATTATTAAAAATAATAGAGGAACAAGTGGGTTTACTCAGATTTCTGCTCAGTCCAGTCTCTCACGTTTCAGTAAAACAACATGATTTAGTTTCCGGCAAAGCAGGATTTTTATTGAACTAAAGCCAGAGGCAGCACTATAACACCTTAGCCATGCTTCATATGTCTACTGATGATGAAACTCACTTATTCTAGGAATAGCAGGAAAATGACTATAAACAGTTGGTAATAAAACTGTGTCAAGACATCTGAATTATAAGGATAATAACAGGCGTCTCTTGGTACCTCCGACTACACATATATTTTCCTACCTTATCTGCATGTGTTTTATGTTTCTCATCAAATGTTTTCAGTATCTTGCTGTAGTAGTTGTGAGATGGAGATAGGTTTAAAGGAAAATGCATCATAAACTGTGGTGGATAAATTTTAGCTTATTTATGTTAGAGCCACAAAATATATGACAATTTGTTTGTATCTTCTTTCTCTCTCCCAGGTAGTGATTACATTAAGAAGTTTATATAGAGTGAAATTATTTCCATAAGTATTAAACAAATCTGGGCATTATTTGTTGAGCACCAAATTAGGTTTACCTTTTCCTGGCTGGTTGGGATTATGTTGGCTGATATTGCCTTAAAAACACTCTCAAATCCACAATTCAGGGAGGAAATAATTTTGTGAAATAATTTCATTTCATGTAAGTCTTTCTGTTTTGTTCTTTTTTGGTAATGTTCTTAGGTAAGAAAAATACAGAAGTGCCTATACCTCTTATATATACAATGTGTTAATGTGAATAATCACGTATCATCCACATACATGAGAATAACACCTTCTCCCCAGCATAGATAGAATCTGAGATAGATTATAATAATATGTGCATTCATGAAATTTGGAAGCAGTAGTTTGCTTTTGAAGACTTGATAATTAACCCAAAGAAGTTTTGGGAAAACCTTAACCTCTCACTTCAGTACTCAATAACTTCAGTATTATGATATGTGTAAGTTGTGCTTGGCAAGGTACCATCTGACCTCTCCTGACATCCACTAAAGCAACATCCCACAACTGCCATTACCTTCAAGAATGGAAAAATTAGATGCCAGCCCCATGAGGCCCACCTAATAAGCAAAATAGGCAGATAAAATTCTTAAGTACAGAAGATTTTGCTTCTATGATTTGATGCTGTAACTTTTTTTGAGTCATAAGTCCTATGACATTTGAAAATCCAAATTTAAAATAGATAACATAAAGAAAAGTTGAACCTCAATTATTTTTGAGATTATGTCATTTCAAAAGGCTGTCATTCATTTTATAGGCATACCCCAGAGCTCCTAATCCAGTGCTTCCCAAACATTAATGTGCACATGGATCACATCAGGATTTCGTTAAAATCAAATTTCTGGTAGAGCTGGGGTAGGGCCTGAGAATCTGCATCTGTAACACGCTTCAAGGTAATGTCAATGCTGCCAGTCTCCTACCATATCTTGGGTAGCAAGACCCTGAGCATTACCTCCTGGAGAATTCTTGGTAGATTAGCCAGTATCACACAAAAGTTAGCTCTGGAGCCACAGAGCTACTAGCTGCTACAGAATATTATCTTATGCAAACACAAATTGGCTGTTTCTTTTAAAGAAGGTACTATTTATTGGAAACTTTCCTGTATTTTAACTGCCTTGTACAGGGCATTTGGAAGTTAAACAAGTGAGAGTGAGTCTGGAGAATATTTTTGTTCCCTCTTGAAAAGAGAGAGCTTGATTGTGAGGCTTTGGGTCATCTTCTCATTTGTGGTAGTTGTTACAAGCTCTGTACAAACTTTCTGGTGCTTGTCCTCTCCTAGGCAAATGAGGAGCTTGCACTTGTCCACACTCTTTGAAAAGTGGCATGGTCATGTAACTTGCTTTGGCTAATGAAGTGTGAGAATATGAGATATGCATCACTTCTAGGCAGAAGCATGAAGAGCCAGTGCATAATTTGTCAAATGCCCTTCTCCCCATTTTTGTGATCTTGAAAACATATCTCAAGATAGAGCCTCTGTCAAGCTTAGGTCCCTGAGAGACTACAATGATTAGAGGACGCCTCCCCTACACACACATGCACCAGTTCAAATTGGTCATGTAACATAAGCAAGAAATAATTAACTGAGCTTTAGGGGGTATTTGTTAATGCAGCATAGCCTAACTCACCTTGACTTTATACACCAACTGAAACTACTTCTGAAAAATAATTCTTAGAAAGTTCAAAAGAATTTTACATGAGCAGTTTCACAATTAAAGATTGCTTTGGGGGGTGCTTAAGAGGTTACATATCAGGTAGCTCATTCCTTGGGAAGTGAAAAATCAAAGTGATTTGTAAGTATCTGATCCATCTACTGAGTGACCTTTAATGAGTAATTTAATCCCATATTTATGGAGCACCTAGGTAAGATGACTGTATAAGAAAATACCGTGAGTCTTAGATGAGAGAAGAATTAGGGGCTGGTAGCATTTTCACATACCTTCAGAGAGGATTCTGAAAAAACAGAGATGGCATGCTCACTCTCTAATTTTAGGGTAGTCAGATCATCTTGCAACAAAAGGCCAAGATATGTATGAAACATTTCAGGCAAGATTT